GGAGATGGTCCAGGGGAATGCAAAGCCATACCTGGAGACGCCCATCATGGAGGCAGCGCTTGGATCTTACATCTGCAGGAAAAGGGCCAAGGGAGAGGGGAAAGGGAAAGCTCGCAAGGGTGTCAGCTACAGAAAAGTATTTATCGCCTTATGTGTGTTTGGTGCAGGGCTTTACCTGTTATATTACCATTGTAATCGTTTCTCTCAATATCTCCCCTTTAGCAAAGCTGGGGATTTTTAAAGCCAGCCCACCAGCTTCTTATGAGGTGTCAGGAGAAAAACAAATAAACAAATGAACAAACCGGATTGTCTGGGTGCAATGTCCTAAGAATCGCATGCTTATTATTTTATTTGCCATTGTATCAGTTGCAATGCCCCTGTGACTCTGGACAAATAGGAACAACAGAGCATGTGCTTCTCCAGCGCCTATACTCTAGAGACATTTGTATTAGCCTCCTCTCCCCATTACACCACAAGTACCCAGGGCGCACAGGACAATTTTATGCCTCCCTGCTGCTGTCAGATCCCAACCCTGCTGCAACATACAAAATTGCCAGGTTCTGTACAGCAGCGCTCAAGATCCATCGGATGATGACCTGCCCCACAAACTAGATTTCATGAACACTCACATCATAGTGCTCTCTAAACTGATAGTTGTAGTCTTTTATATACTAATCTTTTATGCTCCTCCACATCCATTTAATGCTCCGAACCCCTCTTTTAGTTTCTTTTAGATTCTTATAGTCTTTTAGATATACCTTCTCTTTTAATACTTTTTAGCTTTCCAAAACGTTTTACAGATTCTAAATGATTGCACCCCACCCTACTTATTCTGGTCTATGGCCGTAATAAAGATTTGATTGATTGATTGATTGATTGATTGATTGATTGATGATGGATTGCATCAGTTCATTCCATTTCTGAATCACACATCGAACCAATTGAACAGGACAAACATAACAATAAAAGCACATATAAAACTATTCCATGTACGCAGACAAGGAAACAAACTCACATATCTTATCAAAGCCAGTACTAGAGCTGGATTGTAATATTGTCCGGAAGTGGTTTGAAGTCCGTATCGTGGTATCGGTTTCATAATATTTGACCTGGCAGTTTATCGCAAATCATGATGTGTGTGTACTATGCAGAAATCACAATGTGGGAATAATAATAATAATAATAATAATTTATTATTTATACCCTGCCCATCTGGCTGAGTTTCCCAGCCACTCTGGGCGGCTCCCAATCAGTGTTAAAACAGTACAGCGTTACATATTAAAAACTTCCCTGAACAGGGCTGCCTTCACGGGAAAAACCATGAAGCCAGTCAGTGCCTCTACACAGCTCCATCCATACATCAGACATTGTGATATATCGGTATATCATGGTGTTTAGCTGGTGATATATGGCCGTGTTGAAAGCCAGATATCTGTTCACATCTATAGCTCCATCCTTATTTCAGACATTGTGATAAATAAATATATTGCAGTGTTTAGCTGGTGATGCATTGCAATGATGAAAACCAGATATTGCCGTGCCCTAGCCAGTACAGATCAAAATCCCCACTTGTTAATAGGAAGGATTCTGATCTGGGTGGCAAACCATAATTATTCCCACTTAACAAATAGGTGACTGGGGCTGACTGCATACAGTATATTTAAGTTGCATGATTCCCCACAGAGAATTCTGGGAACTGGAGTCTGTGAAGGGTGTCTGGGATTGTTGCTCTCTGAGAGGTGAACTACAGTTCCCAGGATTCCTTGAAGGAAGTCATGTGCTCTTACTGTTCTTTCAATGTGTGATGCTGACCACTGACTGAGTTAAGTCCAAAACAAGCATGAATGAGTGTCCATAAAGAAATTTTGAAAAGAGGAAGAAAAATGGTTTGGGGAGGGGTGTGTGGCGTTCGCACGGAGCCCCCGGTCGTCTCACGGACTATTGACCCGTACACCACTAATCCGCTGCCACCAACCAGGTCCTCTCTGCTAAAAATCACTTCAGACTCAGTCATCTTTTCAATTCATAAAGAAGAGTGTATTTTATTTCAGACTTAAAACAAAACTTTTACAGCATTCCAAACGTTGTTGCTCTTTACTTTCTTAGTCTTATTTTCCTCTCTCTATCTCTTCTACCTCCCGACACTCAAGAACCCACGGCCCTAACTGTCTCTCCCAACCAACTGCCTTTCCCAACCAGCCAACCCACGAAAACCCACCAACTCCCCACCAACAACTCCCCACCAACTCCTCCCAGAACTGGTTTTATAAACCCACTGACTCCACCCCCTGGGTCCTGTCTGTGCAACCTATTTAACTATTTCCCCTCCAGCACTTTCTCATACATGGTAACATCACAGGGGGTATTCAGAAGACAGAGAAGCCGGTGTTTAACCCTTTGCCTGCACACAATTTCCCCTCTCTAAATTCTCCTGATGACAAACCAACATGGTGCTCATAGCGCCAAAGTCATGAATTCAATACCCTTACGGCAACTTGCAGATTCCTGCATTGCAGAGGGTTAAACTAGATGATCCTTGGGATCATCTCAGGATCAGTTCGATGATTCTAACCTTAAGCCATAAAATACAGAAATATTCCTTTAAAATACAAAAAGCATTTCATTCTGCCTTGCTTTTAAAGTGAAAGGGGAGAAAGAGCAGCTTTCTCCTGAGACAAGCCTCTCCTGCAAGTCTGTTTGCCAGACTTGAGATAAGAAATGGCTTATCAGTTCTGAAGCAGCAAAGCAGTTACTCTCTGGAAAGTAGCTCAGCTCCTGCAGTTTGGAGAGCATTTTGCAAATGGGAATGTCCACAAGCAGTGCTGGATTTACGTAGAAGCTGAAGAAGCTATAGCTTAGGGCCCCATTCTATTGGGGTCCCCTAAAAAATGTAACGGGGGGAAAATGGTACATTTCCAAAATAAAGGTAAAGGGACCCCTGACCATTAGGTCCAGTCGCGGACAACTCTGGGGTTCCGGCGCTCATCTCGCTTTACTGAAGAAGAAGAAGAGTTTGGATTTGATATCCCGCCTTTCACTCCCTTTAAGGAGTCTCAAAGCGGCTAACATTCTCCTTTCCCTTCCTCCCCCACAACAAACACTCTGTGAGGGGAGTGGGGCTGAGAGACTTCAGAGAAGTGTGACTGGCCCAAGGTCACCCAGCAGCTGCATGTGGAGGAGCGGAGACGCAAACCCGGTTCCCCAGATTACGAGACTACCGCTCTTAACCACTACACCACACTGGCTCTGTACTCTGTACTGGCCGAGGGAGCCGGCGTACAGCTTCCGGGTCATGTGGCCAGCATGATGAAGCCGCTTCTGGCGAACCAGAGCAGCGCATGGAAACACAGTTTACCTTCCCACCGGAATGGTACCTATTTATCTACTTGCACTTTGACGTGCTTTCGAACTGCTAGGTGGGCAGGAGCAGGGACCGGGCAAAGGGAGCTCACCCCGTCGCGGGGATTCAAACCGCCGACCTTCTGATTGGCAAGCCCTAAGCTCTGTGGTTTAGACCACA